GTTTTTCCTAATCAAAAAGTCGTAAATTCTGGGGCCAGATGGACAGCTGAGCAGGTAAGAGCATTTCTGCTCCTGCAGAAGACCACATCCAGTTCCCAGCACCCACACTGTAATTCCCACAAACAGCCTGGAATTCCATATCTGACATCTCCTTATGGACTCCACAGGCATCTGTATTCACATCCATAAAGCCATATGCACACATAATTAAAATAATAAAAATGCCCGGGCATGGTGTATGTAGCATGCCTTTAATCCCAGAAGTATATAGAAGCAGAGATGAGAAGATCTCTGTGAGTTCCAGGCCAGCCAGGGCTATACATTAAGACTGTCTATAAATAAACAAGTTTGACTGTCTTAAGTTCTAAATTAGCTGGGTGGTGGTGGTACACACCTTTAATCCCAGCACTCAAGAGGCAGAGGCAGGTGGATTTCTGTGAGTTTGAGGCTAGCCTGGTCTACAAGCAAGTTCCCAGACAGCCAGAACTGTTACACAGAGAAACCCTGTCTCAAAACACCAAAAAAATAAATTAAATAAATAAATAAATAAAAGTTCTAAGTCCCAGCCACAGAGAGACACAAGATTTATAATGTGGTAACTACCTTCCTTGGTATATAAAAAGAAAATAAGGTGTAATTACCAATAACCAATAACGAAAAACATTCAGAAAAATGAATAAATCTGTGTCTTCACAAAATTGAAGCTTATTTTGTTTTTGCCCGGTGGGAAAACTTGACATTGAACTAGAAGCACCCAGAGGAGCCATAGGAATGTTTTCAAATGGAAGCAGCTTCTAGGGGGACCCCTTTGACAACAGTGAAGCTTTTAGGGGGACCCCTTTTGACAACAGTGAAGCTTTTAGGGGGACCCCTTTTGACAACAGTGAAGCTTTTAGGGGACCCCTTTTGACAACAACAGTGAAGCTTTTAGGGGGACCCCTTTTGACAACAGTGAAGCTTTTAGGGGGACCCCTTTTGACAACAGTGAAGCAAAGAATCATTAATTCATTAGCTTATCTGGATATATTGTCTTCCTTAGGGTTATCGTTGCTATGATAAAACACTGTGAGCCAAAGCAAGTTGGGGAGGAAAGGGTTTATTTGGCTTACACTTCCATGTCATAGTCCATCATTGAAGGAAGCCAGGGCAGGAACTCAAACAGGGCAGGAACCTGGAGGCAGGAGCTGAAACAGAGGCCATGGAGGAACACTGCTTCCTGGCTTGTTTCCTCCGGTTTTCTAGGCCTGCATTCTTATCTCAGCTGAAAGGTGGCCCCACCCACAAATGGCCTTGGTCCTTCCACATCAATCACTAATTAAGAAAATCCCCTACAGGCTTGCCTACAGCCCCATTTTATGGAAGCATGTTCTCAACTGAGGTTCCCTCCTCTCAGATGACTCTAGCTTGTGTCAAGTTGACATAAAACTAGCCAGCCCAAATATTCAGTGCTAGACATTGCTCTAGAACCTAGGAAACTTAAGTGATCAAAATATGCTCTACCCCCATCTCAAAATACGCCCATCCCCCATTTCAAAATGTGCTCTCCACCACATCCAACTCCCAAGGTATTTAACTTCTAGTGGGGAGAGAGCGAAAGTGCAGCTGGTAAGCAGATGAACGAGAAAAGAACAGCCTGCCAGATCCCAGGACAGAAAACGCAGGATCGTTGGGGTGTGTAGATGACAACATGTCAAAAAGACCTCACTCCGAAGATGACTTTCTGTTGTCAGGACTCAGAAATCCTTCCATACAGAGTGGAGGTCCCAACAAGAAAGAGAATAACTATCTGTCCACCCACCCCACAGTGATCCTGGGCACTGAAGCCCCTACATGGCTGCCCTTCCTCTCAAAGATAAGAATCAGGCTTATCTTCAGGGAAGACATGGCAGCGGTGCTGTGGGGTCCCTTCTCCATGCAGGTAACCCGTGTACTACTCAACTACTATCATATTTTCGTCACACTAGTCATAAATAGGAAGGGTCCCAAGAACCTAATGAGAAAAGCAACAGGCAGAACAGGTTTAACCTCAGTCATTTGAATCCGTAAAGGAGAGAAAGAGAATCCTGTTTGTCTTTACCTACTGTACATAGGTACATGTAAAACTAATAAACATGGCTTTTTGCAGAACATCCGAAAGAAACACAGCTGATATCCATTAATGCAGTGAGACATTTTAAAGACCACAGAGAGTGAGGAAAGGGACTGAGCTCCATGTCTGACCTCTGGAGAAGTAATGGGACACACCCAAGTGAAGATGAAAGATTAGAGCAAGGGAAATGGCCTACCCTAAGTTATCCACCTAGGAGACGGGAGCCCTAAATTTACGGGTTGACAGGTTCAGGGACCGCATCTTTGGTTGAGTTTTCCTAAGGGGTCACTTGAAGGCATTAGGGTCATCTTGGGGATATATGGTCTTGAACTGGTAGATAGTATGTCAGTTTCTTCATATCTTTTTTAACCAAGCTGGTGCCTAGTCCAGAAGAGTCTGACTAGAGTTTGCTGTAGAAATTGAGAAACCTAGATGACTTAAATCTTCCCTCCCCAAATAGATAAGGGAAATGGGACATTGGAGACTGCTGGGAACAGGACTGACTGGGCTCTTTTATGTATGCTATTAGACCCTAGCTAAAAACCCCAGCTACATTACCTTAAGTGGCCACAAGATGGAGACAGATCCTCTCAACAGATCTTCAAGAGGGAATAACCCCGGCTCTGCCAGCTCCTCCCTAGGGCCAACAGTTCCTTCCAGTTCTCTCTGCAGAAGTGCAGCTTCAGTGGGTTCAGGTTCCAAAGAGTCGGCTGAGGAAGAAAGAGGCAAATGCACGGCTGAGGAAGAAAGAGGCAAATGCACGTGTGAGGGTTCAGCTGCTCGTTCTCTCTCTCTCAACCAGAGACTATTTATATAGCAATATAGCATATAGTCATTTAGCAAGCATCAGAGACCTGAACTCCCCCCCCACACCCACACACACGCTTTTTTTTTAACTTCTTCATTAAATGTTCAGAGTTAAAAAAAAAAACAAAAACAAAAAAAAACGTAACAGTCTTACCTGAAACAACATCTTGGGACAGTGTCTGTCACATCGGGAAGTTACAAGTTTTCTCAGGGTCTGCAAAGCACAGATCTATTTTTACAGTCCAGGTCTAGGCTGGCTGCTCATGCAGTTGCAATGTGTTAGACAGTCTGAAACAGAATCATTTGATGTTTTCTAAAATGCAAGCTTTGCAAGATGTCTTATAATAAGCATTTAACTGTCTGATTATCGCATTTCTGTTCCTTAGTTTTACAGTAAGGCCTGCCCTTTTCATAGGATCCCAGAACGGAAGCTTCTGGTACCGCATTCTTTTTAACGCACACCATTCTTATTGCCTCTGTATAGGCTCCAGTATTGGGCAATGGTGTGTCCAAATCAGGGAGACGAGCGACTGAGCTTTCCCCTCTTGGAGGAACCCATACCCTTCCACCTCTGCTACCCACCCTGGGTGAGGGGGTTTTATAGTGGGAAGTATGTCCTCAGGGTTAGCACACAAAAGCTGTGTTCCAGTGGAGGTGGAGGTGGGGGTGGGGAGGGTGGGGGGAAAGGCGAATCTCAAGCTGAACTTAGAACTGAGTAACGTGTAAGCCCCACCCCCAACCCCCGCCAACCCATGCCATGCTAGTTTTGAAGGCATAAAGAAGTCCCAAAGAACTGCTAAGGGTTGGCACGGAGAGGCCATTGGCGAAGATTGAAAAGGTCAGAAGTCGAAGTTCGGCCCCTTGTGACGGAGCTAGTGTTCCCGCAGAGGTCATGGGGCCACTGGGAAGCTGCAGCCTTCGTTGCCCCAGAGGCCCCCGCACCTTGATACCTCAACACTTGAGGTGAATACAAGACAGAAGCGGGTGGGGAGTGGAGCTAGACGGAGTTTACAATACAAGCTGTGTGTTCGGGACGGCAGAGCCACAAGTACAGCTTCCGAAGCCGATCAGAACCTAGATCCTGAGTAAACCAGCTATCAGACACTGGGGCTCTACTGCTGGACGCTGAGCAGTCGAACGTGACATGGAACTCCCGACCTGGCCAACTTCACATGCACTCCCTGAAAAACAAACACCCAGCCAAACTCTCAGATGCTGATACTTACTGTCGAATTAAAAACTGAAAACGGCCAACAGTAGCTACTGTAGGGACACATTCTAAAAATCAGAAACATGTACTTACATAAAACTGTGCCATTTTGCTTCTTTGCTTAAGATGAGTTGAATTCAAGTATTACAACCGCTCTATGACAACATGGGTGGCTCTGAAAAGAGCCTTTGGGTTTCGGTGAGGTCCGCCGCTCACTTGGAGCTGGTGTACTTGGTGACGGCCTTGGTGCCCTCGGACACGGCGTGCTTGGCCAGCTCCCCGGGCAGCAGCAGGCGCACGGCCGTCTGGATCTCCCGGGACGTGATGGTCGAGCGCTTGTTGTAATGCGCCAGGCGCGACGCCTCGCCCGCGATGCGCTCGAAGATGTCGTTGACGAACGAGTTCATGATGCCCATGGCCTTGGACGAGATGCCCGTGTCGGGGTGCACCTGCTTCAGCACCTTGTACACGTACACCGAGTAGCTCTCCTTGCGGCTGCGCTTGCGCTTCTTGCCGTCCTTCTTCTGGGCCTTGGTCACGGCCTTCTTGGAGCCCTTCTTCGGGGCGGGGGCGGACTTCGCGGGCTCGGGCATCTTGAGACACCAACTACAGGAACTGTAGCACCGAGTTGGCCCGTAACTTCCCTTTTTATAAGGGCGTTATTCAAATGAGGCTGAGAAAAGAACACTTCTGATTGAGTGCTATTTTGATGATGTCATCCGGAGTACTGCCCAATCAAAGTGTGCAGGTCGGCACAAACGCTTCTCATTGGCCTAAACGAAAGGAAAAAGACAGCCAATCGCACGGGTTCTTTTTCGCGCCCAGAGAAGACTATAAGTCCCAAGCTCTTGCGGTTCTCATCACCCAGTTGGTAACTGCTACTGTGTGTTCACCATGTCTGGACGCGGCAAGCAGGGCGGCAAGGCTCGCGCCAAGGCCAAGACCCGCTCGTCCCGCGCCGGCCTGCAGTTCCCCGTGGGCCGCGTGCACCGGCTCCTCCGCAAGGGCAACTACTCGGAGCGGGTGGGCGCCGGCGCCCCGGTCTACCTGGCGGCCGTGCTGGAGTACCTGACGGCCGAGATCCTGGAGCTGGCTGGCAACGCGGCCCGCGACAACAAGAAGACGCGCATCATCCCGCGCCACCTGCAGCTGGCCATCCGCAACGACGAGGAGCTCAACAAGCTGCTGGGCCGCGTGACCATCGCGCAGGGTGGCGTCCTGCCCAACATCCAGGCGGTGCTGCTGCCCAAGAAGACCGAGAGCCACCACAAGGCCAAGGGAAAATGAGGCATTTGACCAAAGCCACTTAAAAAGCAGACCAAAGGCTCTTTTCAGGGCCACCTACATTTTCTAACAAAAAGACGTAGCATTTACCCTTGTCGGTCGAATGGAACAGACATAACACCAAAGCAAACACCACCCGCCTTTTTAGCACGCCAGGCTCAGTGACATGGTTTCTCACATTTTGAACCTTTTAAAATATCTAGTAGCCTCTTATTTCGTGGCCGAGTAATACTGGACAAATCATAGGACTAAATGTGAAGCCTGCCGCAGTCGGTCGTCCCTAGTTCCCGGGGCAGTGCGCGAAGGTTAACATCGTGGGAAATGTCTCAGGGCGCCGATTTCGCACCGCACGCCCCCGGTCCCCTCGGAATCAAGCCGGCAGGCCACGTCCTTCCACTGGCTTGAGTGGTCTACGTCTACAGACTGGGAAGTCTCGCTACGGCCAGGCCTTGGTTTCCTTACCTATCGGCGTGAGTGGAGTGCATGGCCATGTCCACGTCCGCAAGTGGAGCCGCCTCTCCCCCTAATGGTCTGTGAAGCCACCCCACGTCCCATGTGGGATGTATGCCTGGACAAGGAGACTTACTCCATAAACCCTTGTAATCCCCGCCTGTGGGAGGCAGAGGCAGGTGGACCTGAGTTCGAGGCCAGCCTGCTCTACAGAGTGAGTTCCAGGACAGCCAGAAATAGAGACGCCCTGTCTCGCGGGGGATGTGGGGTGGCGGGGAACAGGTTAAATACACTATAAAATCGAAAATCTGGTTTCTTGGAAACTTCTAGCTGGAATTCCTTCAGCATTTATATAATCTGTTACCGCAAATACAATTTCGTTTCACTCCTGTACTTATATTATTTCAAAATCTGTCTGTATTAAAGCATGTGTTGTGCTGCAAACGTTTAGCCCTAGCATTCGGGAGGCAGTCAGGCAGATCCGGGAGTTCGAGACCAGCCTGGTCTACACAACGATGAATCACGTCAGATATACTAAGAAAACTGTCTCAAAATGAGAGCGAAAAACAGTAATGACAGCAGTTTAAATGGTTCCCATACTAAAACATTTTACAGAATTTTTAGCTACGTGGCACGATTAAATAATTTTCTCATTAGTTTATTGTTTGGTTCATTAAAAGGTATTCCAAGTTAAACAGCATCGTCCTATAAAGTGCTAAAAGGGAAAACGTAAATGGGGAGCGATGACGGAATTTGTTTCCTTCCTTTCCATGTACATCCTATACTGTTAAATTATCTTTCTTGTTTAAGGAAGGTGGGGCAGGAATCACATTAAATGGTGGGACACAGACTTTGCTCTTAAATGAAGTAAAATAGAATTGAAAGCCGCTGAATTCCTGCGCCGCTGAGAGCCCCTCCCACTTCCGCAGGCACTTCCGCCTGGCGCTTCCTGCTTTCACTCCGGTCCGCAAGTTCCCTATAAGACAGAACTGCTTTCCCGGGAAGCCATCAGTTTGCTTTTCGGCAGCTGTACTGTTATCTACCATTATGTCTGGCCGCGGCAAAGGCGGGAAGGGCCTGGGCAAGGGCGGCGCCAAGCGCCACCGCAAGGTCCTGCGCGACAACATCCAGGGCATCACCAAGCCCGCCATCCGCCGCCTGGCCCGGCGTGGCGGCGTCAAGCGCATCTCCGGCCTCATCTACGAGGAGACCCGCGGGGTGCTGAAGGTGTTCCTGGAGAACGTGATCCGCGACGCCGTCACCTACACGGAGCACGCCAAGCGCAAGACCGTCACCGCCATGGACGTGGTCTACGCGCTCAAGCGCCAGGGCCGCACGCTCTACGGCTTCGGTGGTTAAGCCATGGCTGCATTTTCCTCCAGTGTCGTAAAAGGCCCTTTTCAGGGCCACCACACCTTCTACAAAGGAGCTGAACCGGTTTCCAGTGTTACGAGGCTCTTTCCTTGGCCGGTACCTACCTCTTCGAAGTTCTGTAACTTTTGGAACTGCAGCTCTACAGGAACTGGCGGTGATTGTTTGAGGAACCCCGCGGCCTCCCCACAACCACTGGGCTGCGTTTGGAAGTCCGAGGAGTTTCATAATCGGCATTTAAGTGCGCACTCAGCTACAGGCCTCGATTTGAAAACAGGTTATTTCCCCTGAGGCAGACTTCGAAAGTAGCGATCAGAATGACAATGCGTTAAGGCAGACATGACAACCCGGTGTCTCCCCTTAACAAGTAGTGCATAACTGGAATTTGAGTTCCCCAAGTTGCTGCAAGGTAAAAGAATTAAAGGTGATACCTGTGAAATGTGTAATGATTTGTGTTGAATTAAACAGCCCGTGGCATGTGCACAATTTGAAGTGGTAATTACTAGTGTACTGTGTTCTTTAATTCAGCTGGTTTAGTTTGGTTGTGGTTGGGGGGGGGGGCAGGAGAGGGCGCTGTATTTTGCAGTACTGCTTAGACCAGCAGCATTCCACGTTAAGCAAGCATTCCCTTTATGCAGCCGGGCCTAAAAGTTTTGCATCAGCTTCCAGAGTAGCTGGAACTACAAAAAATTCACCAGGCCATGGTGGCACACGCCTTTAATCCCAGCAGGCAGAGGCAGGAGGTCATGAGTTCAAGGTCAACCTGGTTTACAAAGTGAGTTATAGGACAACCGGGGCTACACCGAGAGAAACCCTGAACTCGAAAGAAAAAAATGGTTGAGATTATAGGGGCCTGACCTGAATACTGCACCACCTATGTGTCATATTAATCTCTTAATTAACAACATAAATCATCAAACAGTTGGTAGTGATAGTCCGAGAATGGAGAAAGGAACAACTGGCAATTACTGAGCCAATTGAAAATCGGTTTTGTGTTAAACCTTTCAGGGTTGTGAGTAACCTACAGAAGACATTTTTATTCACTCCTGCTCTTGGAGTGTCAAATAACACTAGGCATGTATGGCTTTTTATTGTTTGATTTTGTTTTGTTTGAGAGAGAGTCTCACTGTGTAGCCCTGGCTGTCCTGGAACTCTGTAGACCAGGCTGGTCTCAAACTTACAAAGATCCACCGGCATCTGTCTCCCAAGTACAGGAATTTTTTTTTTTTTTTTTTTTTTTTTTTGGTTTTTCGAGACAGGGTTTCTCTGTGCAGCTTTGCGCCTTTCCTGGAACTCACTCTGTAGCCCAGGCTGGCCTCGAACTCACAGAGATCCGCCTGGCTCTGCCTCCCGAGTGCTGGGATTAAAGGCGTGCGCCACCACCGCCCGGCCCCAAGTACAGGAATTTAAAGGTATGTGTCACTATGCCTGTCATGACTGGCTTTTTTTTTTTTTTTTTTTTTTTTTCCACTTAGAGGTTTAATTGAGAAATACCAAGTCAGGTAAACATGCAAATTCAGAATATAAACAAGTGCAATACCTGGTTGTTCTGAAATAATCATCAGCCATCAGCTGGAGGTGGACCTAAAGACACTCAACAGAACCAATTAAAACTGTACGCTGAACAGAGCCACCCAAGAGATGAGCAGACTGGTCCTCTCAGTCTAGAAAGAGCAGAGTGAGCAGACAGCAGGCAAGGCTCACCCAGGTCTAATCCTGGTGCTTTCCGAGGCCAGGTGCTTGAAATACTAGGGGTTAGTGCCCAGAGGACTTTAAGCCACTGACACAGACTGAAGCTTTTAGGAAACGCGGGGAGGGAATGGGACTGCCAACAGCACAACAGCACACTTCACATGTCCAAAAGTAAACAGAAAGAAACAGTCTGCAAAATTTTAATGCTCAGTTTTCACAAACACAAGTTTCTATCCAATTTGATGACTTACGGTAAAATGTACTAGCCTTTAAAAATGGGCATTATTCAACTATCCTCCGTAGTCTCTTCCAATGTTTTAAAGTTCATCACTGTGAGTTTTTACCTAAGTAATACTCTACCGTATTTACATTTGAATTGCATGTCTTAAGAATAAATGAAATCCATGATATTTTGGTTAACTCAGTATTTATAAAGTGAAAAGTTCTATCAAAATACTTTTTACTGGAAAAAATAAACAGAACAGACGATGGATCTACTCAAAGTGCACACTCACTTGGTAGACTTCAGTGCAGGACAGCTCATGACAAGCACATGTGCCCTTATTCAAGCACATGTGCCCTTATTCCCAGAGCCGACCAGCTTCCAAGCTAATGGTGAAATCATTTTTAACTGAGATTTTATCGTGTTTTATCTGGCTCATTCCACATCATCTTCAGCCAAGCTCTGAGCACTTACAATTCTCTGACTAATGGTTGGAAGCTTGGTCAGAAGCATCTGGAACACTGGTGGTGGAGGAGTTTGCTGTCACACTCGCAGCAGCTGCTGAGGCTGTCCACACACCGCGATTGCATTTGTCAGGTGGTCCACACCCTTCTCCTATTCACCTTGTGCTAGTAACTCTTCACCAAGCTGTCCTCTTCAAGGAAGAATTTCTGAACGGCTTCAGCATCTTTTAAGTCAGGTAACTTGGAAAGCCCAGCTCTCTTCCCAGCAAGCTTCTGTTTCTTCGTTCTCGAAGCCTGGTTTTGAAGTTGGGGTCACTCCATGCAGTCCCCGATGAAGAGGGCACCGCACACGCCCGCGGCGATGGCACTGTCCTGGCCCATCGTCTTCGCTCGGCTCGTGCGCTGGGCCGCGGAGGCCGCCAAGCATCGGTTAGCTCCGAGCGATCGCCGGCCGCTCGCAGCCTCCAGGGCCATAAGTGGCTTTTTAAACACCAACAACACGGCATGTAACCGAGGAAGTGAATGCTTAATTGTGTTTTGCTTTAGTTATTTTTCACTTAGAGTTGATCGATGGATTCAGTGATCAGATTAATATTAATTATGCTTAGAACCATGTAGGTATGTAATCTAATGTGAATATTCTTGGATAAGAACTCAAAACAAATCAAACAGGCTTTCACTTTCAACCCCTCAGAGGCAAGCAGATCTCAGTAAACTCAAAGGCAAGGCCATCACAAGATACACAGTGAGACCTTGTCTCAAACAATAAAAGTAAGATAATTGAAATACAGATAAAGAAATTTGATGTACTATAAAAGTATAATATAGATACTGGATCTCAAACACTTAAAAACAAGGTCTACTTAAAGTTTTACATACTGAAACCATTTTTATATAGTGTATCATATAGAACATATTAAAATTAATGTCACTTTTTTTACCTTGTTAAAAAGGTACTTAATAACTAAATGAAAACTATGCATCTCTCTTGAGCAGTAAATTTAAAATAGCACACTGGGTTTATGCTTTTAGATGAAAATATAGGAATAATTCACAGAAAATCCTGGGAGAATGAACAAATTTCATTTTTCTCCTATTATATTCCTAAAGACAGAGTAAAAAGTCTCTGTTCAATTACTATCTGAGGTTGAGGCAGGACAGGAAAATGGAAAATTATAGGGATGTGGGAACGGAAAAGAGTTCCTCACTCTGGAGTGAAACCCTTAATCAGAAAGAATTTCAATTTAGCAACTTTCACTGAAGACCTTTCTCCCATCCAAGGTATGAAATTTGCAGTTTTCTAGGAAATCTCACCAGAAACTTCATTTACAATAAAAAAAAAAAAAAAAAAAAAAGTGTGTGTGTGTGTTGGGGGGTGGGGTCCTAACTTTGTGGAACCCTGGAGTCTTCTACTTTCATTTCATTGGGTTGTAATGCCAGCTAATACACCTCCAGACCCACCCTATAACCTCATTATCTAAGAAAAGAACAGAGAGGGAAAGGTCCTTTAGAACTGTGTGCAGCAATAAAATTCCAAATAGCTTCAAACATCCTGTAGTCGGTTACCATTAGAGCATTTGAAATGAAACTTTGCACAGGATGAAGGTTGAAGCGGTGACTGGCCTGTCCAGATGTTACCTGAGGAAGCTGGAGCAGAGCCACAGTTGTCCTAAGGTATAAACTGCTCGTTACAAAATGAATTGATTTCCTCCAGAGACAGGGTTTCTCTGTGCAGCCCTGGCTGTCCTGAAACTCACTCTGTAGACCAGGCTGGCCTGGACCTCAGAGATCCACCGGCCCCTGTCTCCCAAATGCTGGGATTAAAGGCGTGCACCACCACCACCACCCAGTTTACAAAATGAATTCTTTTAGAGGAAGCTGGTGTAGGAAATTCAACTTTTTAATAATTTGATTATAAAATACAATTAAAATCTCATTTTAGCCAAAGTTAAGTGGGACTAATATATATGGCTAAAGAGGAAGGAAATATTATATACATAAAATTATATATAGTATATATATATATATACATATGCAGAATTATTTAAGGTCTGTCTGTGTAGCAGTTTTGCTGTCTATGGAAGAACATGGATCTTAACGATTCATTCCAGCTGTTATTCTGTTCTCTCCAGAGGAACAAAATGGGATCTGAATGAAAGGGAAAAGTGGTGGCCATGAAAGCTAAGACCCCACTCCACCCAGGTTTTCCATCAAGACAGTGTCTTTTCACAGCTCCAGAGAACCAAATAAACTTTGTAAAATCAAATGATATGTTTTCAAAAACTGCCTCACCAACCTAGAGTGAATAAACAGCGGCATCCCATTAAGAATTCAGAAGCTAAACGCTTAATCCAAAACTAATCAAATAAACCTGAAGGTGGAATTCATCATCACTCTAAAAAGAAGTCCTTTGTATCTGATGCTGGATGAGGTGGCACAGGTTTATAATCCAAAATCTCAAATGGCTGAGGCAGGAGCCCAGAGTTTGTTACTAAATGAATCCCAGGTCAGTCAGTGCTACATAGCAAGAATCTGCCGTAAAAAAAAAAAAAAAAAAAAAAAAAAAAAAAAATCCTGTATAGTGGAAAGCTAGAATGCCTATTGCAGAAACACAAAAGTAATTCTCTTAGGTTTCTCACTCCTTTCCATGAAACTGAAATAGGCCGTTGTCCTGAACGGTCCCACCAGCTACTTGAGATCTGCCTAAGGGTTAGAAAGACTTTGCTATCATTAAAAGTGAAGGGGCAGATAAATTTGTACTGCTTGGGAAACACCATCACCCCTTACTTGGGATAGATCTCTTCTCCAACTGCCTCTGCCTTTGCTCTTTTAATTGAAAATGATTTCCTTTATATCCTTCTAGATTGCTTCTGGCATTAAAAAAATATACATAGTAATATCTACCTCACAGATCTGTGTAAAGATTAAATGGGCTCATATACTACAAGCATATATACCTGGCATGTTGATAAGCACTCAGTAAGTGTTAAAAATCATTTGATATGTTTAAAAAACATTAACATAACAGGCAAATCTCTAGTAAAGACTTGGATGAACAGAAAACAAGTTCTGTATGTTGAAATTTTCCAGTCTGACCAGAAATCAGTTCATTCTGTACGCTCAGTAGCTGTACCCTCAAACCTTACAAAACCGAGTGGCAAAAAGTGTACACCTATTTCCATAATTAAATCATTTTTGGTTTTGTTTTCCGGACTCAGGGTTTCGCTGTGTAGTCCAGGCTGGCCTTGAACTCAGATCTACCTGCCTGAGCCTCCCGAATGCTGGGATTAAAGGCGTACACCACCAGTGACCCTTTTAAATTGTTTTCCTTTGGAAACTAGCCTCAATTTTATCACGAGACCCTCCCATGTAGGCCAGCCCGGGCAGAAATTGTAACACAGCATCACGTGACCTTGAAACGCTGATCCCACCTCCACTACCAGGACACTAACATTACAGATGTGTCCCACCCACCAGGCCAGGTTTATGCAGTGATGGGGATTAAGCCCAGGTTTTCCTGCATGTCAAGCACTCTACATCTTCAGCCTTGGCCTCTACTTCGAAATAACTAATTAGGCCAGGAAACAATACAGCTTAAAGCTCTTTAGTACTTCCTTTCGCCCAAAGTTCACATTACTTTTAACTGAGTCTTTGTGGCTTCTCAGGACACAAAACTGGGCTGCCCTAATGAGACAGGAGGTTCTTGGCATCATCCTTATGTACTTATGCACTACACCTGCTATCGGGACCTCCGTGTAGAACAGTTCAAGAGCCTTACTCTAGAACTTATGTTTGCAGCTCTAATACGGACAACTTGGTGGCTCTTAAAAGAGCCTTTGGTGGTAGATGTTAACACTCGCTTGGAAAGTTTACTTGGCGCTAGTGTATTTAGTGACGGCCTTGGTGCCCTCGGACACGGCGTGCTTGGCCAGCTCCCCGGGCAGCAGCAGGCGCACGGCCGTCTGGATCTCCCGGGACGTGATGGTCGAGCGCTTGTTGTAATGCGCCAGGCGCGACGCCTCGCCCGCGATGCGCTCGAAGATGTCGTTGACGAACGAGTTCATGATGCCCATGGCCTTGGACGAGATGCCCGTGTCGGGGTGCACCTGCTTCAGCACCTTGTACACGTACACCGAGTAGCTCTCCTTGCGGCTGCGCTTGCGCTTCTTGCCGTCCTTCTTCTGGGCCTTGGTCACGGCCTTCTTGGAGCCCTTCTTCGGGGCGGGGGCGGACTTCGCGGGATCAGGCATGATGGACAAGACGAACAAAACGCCAACGGAAAATCCGCGGCAAACCAGATGTGCGTACTCCTTATCTAGAGCTTCGTATGCAAATAGAGTGAAGTGCCCTGTGTCTTGTTAGTGGTCACTCAGAAAAGGCTGACTCTGTTGTTATCCAATAAAAATTCAAAAAATCCCCAAGCTGCGTTTCTATTGGTTAAAATGAACTCAGTCTCCTAATCAATGACGCGTCTCCTTTTTCGCGCCGTGGCTTGACTATAAAAGCCAAAGGGGCGGCTTGGTTTTGTCCCGTAACCTTCAGTTGTTTAAGGAATCCATTATGTCTGGACGCGGCAAGCAGGGCGGCAAGGCTCGCGCCAAGGCCAAGACCCGCTCGTCCCGCGCCGGCCTGCAGTTCCCCGTGGGCCGCGTGCACCGGCTCCTCCGCAAGGGCAACTACTCGGAGCGGGTGGGCGCCGGCGCCCCGGTCTACCTGGCGGCCGTGCTGGAGTACCTGACGGCCGAGATCCTGGAGCTGGCTGGCAACGCGGCCCGCGACAACAAGAAGACGCGCATCATCCCGCGCCACCTGCAGCTGGCCATCCGCAACGACGAGGAGCTCAACAAGCTGCTGGGCCGCGTGACCATCGCGCAGGGTGGCGTCCTGCCCAACATCCAGGCGGTGCTGCTGCCCAAGAAGACCGAGAGCCACCACAAGGCCAAATGAGCAGCTTTAGATAACCCTCTCCCCCAAAGGCTCTTTTCAGAGCCACACACACAGTCCGGAAAGAAGCTGGTGCATGCAAACCTAAAAGCTGACTTGAAAATGGCGGACAGCCTTTTGGTTGATCTAACTTAAGGTACAGTAATCAGGGTCTTAAGAGCTGATTCCCATTACATGATCTGCCATCCAGTGTCAACATATTTGTCTGGGTGGGACCCAAGTATTCGTTTAACGGTTTTTTGTTTTTCTAGGAGTCCCTTTGGATTTTGAAACGGTTTCCTTGGTTTTTTTTCTTTAAACAGTGCTTGGTTTTGTTTCAATGAACTCGCACTGTAGATAAGCTGCTCCACCTGCCTCTGCCTCCAGAGTGCTGAGACTAAAGGATTGTGCAACTGCGTCCTAGGCCAAAGATACTTGGGACGTCCACCATCATGCCCAGTTTTTACAACAGCCTCACACTTGACAGGTCTGGTTAACCTTCAATAAATGACAGGGTTCTTAAATTTTTCTCTTCTTCTGGAGCAGAACATAATTAGGTTCTCTTAAATGTCATCTGTTAAAAGTAGACTTTCAAGTCCTACACTGGTAAACTCGGTCCAGTGTTCACAGTACGTTTTTGAGGGTAGGCCTCGGTAATGAAACTTAGGTAATTGTCCCCCATGGAAATTGCTTCCAGGTGGTGAAACGAAAGTGCGGCATGTCAGGTGGTAGATATCCCAGGAAGAAAATGCAGAACAGATAAGTTTTAAAGAGGTTAATGGCGACTAGTATTTTAGACAGAGATATACAAAGACGACTTCATTGAAGGTGTTATTTGATCAAAAACAAATTGAAAAAAGATGGTTTATTACATGAAGTGTGCCAGGTAGATTACAAATGATAGAGAGGTTAGCTGCTTCCCAGTAGCCGTATTCACCAGTGTAAGAAATAAATTATGGTCCATTTTCAGTGTCAGAAGCACTTATCAAAATTATGCAGGAGCTAGCTGGCACAGGCTTTATCTCAGAATTCTGAGAGATGGAAAGTTACAGGCAATCTGCTGCATTACTGAGCACAGAAAAGGGAACAGTCTAAGTCCCAAATTATTCATTGCTTAAAGCTCTATGTCCTAAATCTTTAGGATGGGGAGTTTGGGAAGAGGGCAAGTCCTGAACAGGAGATTCTCCTGATAGAGGCACTTTAAAAACCAGTCTTGGCCTGGTGAGGTGGCTCAGCAGTTAAGAGTAGTGGGCTGCTCTTCCAGAGGACCTAAATTCAATACCCAGCAAATTACATGGTGGCTCACAACGATCTATAATTTTATCTGATGCCCTCTTCTGGCATGCATGTGTACATGCAGACAGAGCACTCACATAAAAAAAATAAATATTTTTTAAAAAGAAAAAGCTGAAATTTAAAAAAAAATAAAAATAAAGTCCTAGTCAGGTGGTTGATGTCAGCGGCCTTGCCTTTAATCCCAGCGCTCGGGAGGCAAAGGAAGACAGATCTCGAGGCAAAGACAGGTGGAGTTTGAGGCCAGTCTTGTCTGGAGTGAGTTCCGGATTAGACAAGGCTACACAGAGAACCGATTTTGCCTTTTCTCTATGCAGAATTGTATATTAAAAACTGCTTCATTTTCATTAGACTCTTGAACTTATTATCTAATTTCCAACAGAGTAGTCATGTTCAACCCCTCCCTTGCTTTCTCTTTTGTGTGTTCTCACTACGTGTGTGTGTGTGTGTGTGTGTGTGTGAGAGAGAGAGAGAGAGAGAGAGAGAGAGAAGTGAATGATGAAATTTAGATTAGTTCAGATTTTTTTTTTTTTTTTTTTTTTTTTTTTTTTGGTTTTTCGAGACAGGGTTTCTCTGTGTAGCTTTGCGCCTTTCCTGGAACTCACTTGGTAGCCCAGGCTGGCCTCGAACTCACAGAGATCCGCCTGGCTCTGCCTCCCGAGTGCTGGGATTAAAGGCGTGCGCCACCACCGCCCGGCAAGTTCAGATTTTTTAATTCCTCCCAATATTTGCAAATCCTACTGCTCCGAGTAGGAACTCAGGAGTAGGGATTCTTGCTCAGGGCCTGTCTGGAAGTGAGGGGGATAAAGTCCTCAGTCTGACACAATTAATAGCTTACAAAGCTAGGTGAGTGATCACCATAAAGAATACATGTGCTCTGAACAGTTTGCTGAAAAGGTAGAGCTTAAATGTTAGTGTGTTTAATAATAAATATTCTGGATTCAGTAGACTTGACCCGAAAGTCCACAAAATTGCGAGTAGTTGGTGTGACCTGGGAGTCACCAGTGGGAAAGATTTCAGGGATATCGGGTCTGGTAATAGCAGCCACTTTCATGGAGAGAAGCTGGAAAAGGAGACCCAACAGCAAGCCGGGAAACAAAGGAGATTCTGCATATTTCTGGCTTGAGAAAAGAGGACTGACTCTGTGTTTAGAGAAGGGCCTTTGAGTTAACAGGTCAGTGAAGGTGTCAGGATATAAGGCAGTAACTTAGTAAACTACATCCCACCCTTCGGTGGGGCTGTAACAAATTAGTTGATCAGCTTTAGAAAGGTGTGCTAGACAGGACAAAAGGTGTGGCTGATCCTCCACAAGGGATCTGGCATTCCGTGCGCACCATAAGACAGGGCAAAGCCTGTGCTTCGATTAGATGGGGCAGGTATGGAAATACATTCTTAGCTGGGGGGGCAGCTGTTATCTGAGAGGCTTGAGAGGCTAAGAACGTGACTGTTGGTGTTACACGCCCCTGTGCGGGTCCTGTTGGTATGTCACCATTTTCTATTGTTCGTCTAAAGACTTGCCTAGCAGGAATCAACACTGGTGCCCTCTGGGTGTTGAAGACAAGAAAACCCTCCTCTGGTGCTCTTTTTCTTTTCTTTAATATAAAAAGAACCTAAGGTACTTATCTATATGACTCAATATCCTAAAATTTAAAATCTAGACATTCTGTTTTTGAAGATAACATTTTTTTTTTAACCTCACAACAGGAAAAGATCCTTTCACATAATGTTATGGGGTAAAAACCCAAAAAACGAAAAAAATGTAAGTGAGTGCTGCAACTGGGGAGGGGTGGGAGGAGGTATCCTGACTGCTCGGGGAGTCAGGCTATACCTTGAGCGCGTCTGTATTGAGCTGGCCTGCCACTTGCCCGGAGAGAAACATGTCTCACACAGTAGCCCTGAGTGCGAATTACAGGGAATTTTTCAAGACAAAAACCAGAAAAACTACATCCTGGTTGGCAGTTGCTGAGGAAAACAAGCAGTTTAACTAGAGCCAAGACCACGTTAGCCGGGGCGTTGAGACCCTGAGTTTCTAGAACAGTGCTTTTCCACTGGACTTTTCACATTTAATGTGACAGAACCAAAGATGCCGTCAGCTCAGACAAGATGGAGAACCCTTGACCCTGTTAGAGTAACTTCAAAGGTTCAATCGTGAGAGAGAAACAGTAAATGGATCATCACAGAGCCAAGGATCTGATGTTAAGTAGATAGACTAGTAACAAGCAGGCCATATAACCAGATCTGAAATCTGCAATCCGCTCAACTAGAATGTGAAACACAACACACCCCCTGTTCGTCACCATGAAGAATGTGTCAGCCTCACAAAGAACACAGACAAACAATCAGAAAAGTTCCTGTGTAAGATGTAAGCCAGAGAGCTGGGAGTGGGGTTCAGTTGGTAGAGTTCTTGCCTTGCATGCATGGGACCCTGAGTCCAGCCCCCAGCACTACAAAAAAGAAATGCAACTCAAGCGTCTAACAAACATATAAACTGACAACCAAAATCCTTTAAATATATGTATACAGGAAGCTTTTATTGATGAGATTTATCACTCTGCATTATTTGTTTGTCACTATGTACATTATACCTCACTCTGAGCATAGATTTCAAAGCATTATACCTCACTCTGAGCATAGATTTCAAAGCAGATGTCGGGATTTAAGAGTTGACAGTAATGAACAGTACAAAGTCCTGGAGCAAATGTAAGCTGATTATCATTTCAGTGGTCAAAGCCACCACTGTCTTGTACCATCAACACCACACTGTGCTTATCAATCTTTTCTTTTTCTTCTGGATATTTTTTTAAATTAAAAAAATAAAAATGTGTTCTCTCTCTCTCTCTCTCAAAAAAAATAAAAAATAAATCTCCTAGTTATCACAGCAAAATACCCACCTAGGAGCGTAGAGGGAGCCGAGAGAGGGGAAACACCCTGTGACTTCACCGGAGACAGGTGGGAAGTAGGCACCTTCCTACTTCCCACAGACAAGTGCCCACAGGAGGGGTCTATGAAGCCATTAGCCTTTACGAACGATCTATGTGTAATGTGTAACAGGGCAACTTTGGTGGTGGGGGCAGGGGAAAACACATATTCAGGGCAGTGGTGTGTACGCCTTTAATCCCAGCACTGGAGAAGCAGAGGCAAGCAGATCTCTGTGAGTTCAAGGTCAGCCTACTCTACAACTCGAGTTCCAGGACAGCCAGGGCTGTTACACAGAGAAACCCTGTCTCAAAGAAAAAAAAAGAAAAGAAAAGTTGCTTAAGTGAGGAGAGGAACGGCAGGGTGTGTGTTCAAAGAGGATGCCATCTGGCCCATTGTAGGGCATGCTGACTGGGGCTAGACTGGAAGGAAAGAGTTGGAAAGTAACCACAGGAAAGCCGCTCTCCAGGACTCTGCATTGTGAACTCCTCGGTGGCCTCTGTCTCTCAGGGGCTGCCTTTGGGAGTGCTCTGTGAGTGCAGTTGCCCTCAGTCTCTCCAGAAGGAACAGTTCAGGTAGCATCAGGTGTAGCAAGTACTTATAATGCCAGCACTTGGGAGACTGAGACAGGATGACTGTTGCAAGTTTGAAGCCAGCCAGGGTGCCAAGCAAATCTGGGCTATCTAGAGACCCTGTCTCAAAGTGACAGAGAAAGAGGAGGGGAGAAGGGACAGAGGGAGGGAAGGAGGGAAGGAAAATGATCCCATTCTAATACCTTGCTAAGCTGCCTTCCTCTAAGTTTGCCTTTCCACACACATCAAATCGACATGGAACCCCCACTGAGGGGTCTTTTGTCTGCTCTGAGGCCCATCACCATGTCCAGGTTATAGACCCTGGCAGCATTCTGAAGAAGTTGTCACATTGCACCTCACGTCTT